TAAGAGCCCGCACTGATAGATATAAGAACAGCACCATCCCATCTATTGTTAAAATAATAAACAACTCCTGATTTATGTACTGTACAGCCCTGTAAATGTATTGAACGTATATTATTATGTCTAAATCACATGTAAGTTTGTATATTTTCAGCCACCGGCTGCAACTCTATTAATAAACCGTTTATTACTATTATTATTAGTATTTACACACATGCACATATTACACACAGGACAGATAACACCTGCCCCAATGGTACACATGCAACACACGGTAGTAAAACGCTCATTCGTAAAAAAAAAAAAATATATATATATATATATATATATATATATATATATATATATATATATATATATATATATATATATATATATATATATATATATATATATATATATATATATATATATATCAATAAAAACTAATTTATCATAAAAAATCAAATAAAGGCTAAAAATATTCTCTCATAATAATAATAACAATAATGATATAATAACGTAATCAAAACACAATATAGTGTAAAATTGATTCAGCATTTCATACACCAATAATAACTCGGGTATTTCCCAGACATTAATTAGCAGCCAGGTAGGGCCGAGTCTCCCACCTGTACCACGTTGATCCTGGGAGTGACAGACCGAGTGTAATTAAACCACCTGAAGAATAGTCACCCAAGCTTATTTCACCTGAAGATTAACCACCCTAACATTAACTTAACTTACCGGTAACCTAACCTAACACACCTGTAACGTAACCTAACCTAATTTAACAGACTTGAAACCTAACCTAACCCAACGTCATCGTCCCAAACAGTGTCAGGGTGGTTAGTCATGAGGTTAAATAAGCCGGGGTGACTGTTCTTCAGGTGATCCGTATACTCCTCACCGGACAAGACAACAAGAATCTTTTCCCAGTTTTACAGAAGCAGCAAAAGTCTCTCACGCTGATGGAACAGTGGATAAGAGTCAGCAGGGTGTGTTAGTCAGTCAGCAGGGTGTGTTAGTCAGTCAGCAGGGTGTGTTAGTCAGTCAGGGTGTGTTAGTCAGTCAGTCTCAGGGGTGTAGTCAGTCGGTCAGGGTGTGTTAGTCAGTCAGGGGTGTGTTGTTGGTCAGTCAGCAGGGTGTGTTAGTCAGTCAGCAGGGTGTATTGTTAGTCAGTCAGCAGGGTGTTAGTCGTCAGCAGGTGTGTTAGTCAGTCAGCAGGGTGTGTTAGTCAGTCAGCAGGAGTGTGTTAGTCAGTCAGCAGGGTGTGTTAGTCAGTCAGCAGGGTGTGTTAGTCAGTCAGCAGGGTGTGTTAGTCAGTCAGCAGGGTGTGTTAGTCAGTCAGCAGGGGTGTGGGTGTGTCAACAATAAATGTCAGCAGATGCGAATGAAGGTCAGAAGATCTGTCAGTAGATTTGTTGAGTGGGGCGGGAGGGAGAGGACATGTTAAGTGGGATGAGAGGAGGAGGGGGAGGAGGACGTGTTTGAGTGTGGAAGAAGAAGCAGAAGAAGCAGAAGCAGAAAGAAGCAGAACTACCACACAAGGAAAACCTCACCACTAACTCTTACGACAGAACAAGACACTGGAACACGTCATAGCCCATGTCCTAATTATATACCCCATGTCCTAATAATTTCCTAATTATATATATCAAGTGTCCCTAATAAATCCTATGTATTATATATCCAGTGTCTTAATATTACACCCCATGTCCTAATGTGTTCTAATTATTTAACCCATCTCTAATATAGTATAATTATACACCCCATGTCCTAGTATGTCTAATTATATACCCCATGTCCTGTTGCCCTAATTATACACCCCACGTCCTAGTATGCCCTAATTATACACCCCATGTCCTAATATGTCTTAATTATACACCCCACGTCCTAATATGTCTTAATTATACACCCCATGTCCTTGTATGTCCTAATTATACACCCCATGTCCTAGTATGTCCTAATTATACACCCCATGTCCTAGTATGCCCTAATTATACACCCCACGTCCTAATATGTCCTAATTATACACCCCACGTCCTAGTATGTCCTAATTATACACCCCATGTCCTAGTATGTCATAATTATACACCCCACGTCCTAGTATGTCCTAATTATACACCCCATGTCCTAGTATGTCCTAATTATACACCCCATGTCCTAGTATGTCCTAATTATACACCCCATGTCCTAGTATGTCCTAATTATACACCCCACGTCCTGGTATGTCCATGTCCTAGTATGTCCTAATTATACACCCCATGTCCTAATATACACCCCATGTCCTAGTATGTCCTAATTATACACCCCACGTCCTAATATGTCCTAATTATACACCCCATGTCCTAGTATGTCCTAATTATACACCCCATGTTCTAGTATGTCCTAATAATAACCCCATGTCCTCCTAGTATGTCCTAATTATACACCCTATGTCCTTTCTAATTATATATAATGGTATCTTAATTAAATGCCCAGTTAATGTGTCCTCAGAGTTAAAGGATGATAGGACATGTGAAGTAAAGGGTGTATTAATGTAGGACTTTCTGGGTGACAGGAGTGACGGAAGGCGTGATAAGAGACAGGAGTGACGGAAGGCGTGATAGGTGACAGGAGTGACGGAAGGCGTGAGTGACGGAAGGCGTGATAGAGTGACGGAAGGCGGAGTGACGGAAGGCGTGTTAGGTGACAGGATAGGTGACGGGAGGCGTGAGTGACGGAAGGCGTGATGACAGGAGTGACGGGAGGCGTGATAGGTGACAGGAGTGACGGAAGGCATGATAAGAGACAGGAGTGACAGGAGAGTAACGAGTGAGTGACAGGAGTGACGGCAGAGGAAACATTAGACAAGAGGCTGACGGGAAAAGGAAGAAGACCCGACCAGCTGACACATACTGAGGGAAAAGTCAGCAAATGTCAGCAGATACCAGGACAACAGTCATTATATATCAGCAAGTCAGTCATTGTCAGCACAAGTCAGTCTTTACGTTAGCACAAGTCAGTCAGTCATCATGTCAGCAGAAGAGTCAGCCAATCAATGTCAGCAGAAGTTAGTCATTACGTCACCAGAAGTCAGTTGTTACGTCAGCACAACAGTCAGTCAGTCAATCAGTTAATCAGAACAGTGTAACAAAAGTGAGAGAGAGTTTGCAACTGAATTTTTAAGAAGGCTTCAGTGACTACGGCTATAGAACTGCCCTGTGTGAGAGAGAGAGAGAAAGAGAGAGAGAATAAGCTAGTGTAAGGTGTGTAGGCCAGAGAGTGAGTTATCAGGAGCGTGACAGCCTGAGGGGTGGACGGACAGACAGACAGACAGACAATAGACTTTCACCTTGCGGGCGTGATGGTCACCCTCCCTCCCCCTCACCATCTCTCAGGTTGTCTCCTCTCTTTGTTTTATCCATTTCTCCTTACTTTCTTTTTACACTACTTAGAGTGGGGAAGGAGAGGGGAGGAGGGAAGGGTGAGAGAGGGAGGGTTGGGAGGGAAAGAGAGGGGGAGTGGGGGAGAGAGGGGGGATAGAGGAGGGAGAGAGGGGGGGTAGTGGGAGGAGGGAGGAGGGGAGGGAGGAGGAGTGGGAGGGAGGAGAGGGCGGTCACCTTTTTGTCCCCTTGCTCCTCTCTACACCCCTTTCTTAATTATGCTCCCTCCTGTTCCCATTCAGTGAGTAACAACTGTTTTCCATCACCTCCTCCCTCTCTCTCCTTCTTCCCTACATCTCTCTCCAGCCCTCCCTCTCTCATAACCATTCCCTCCCCATCTCTCTCCAGCCCCTCCTCTCTCTCACTAACCATTCCCTCCCTATCTCTCTCAACCCCTCCTCTCCCTCCCCTCTCACTAACCATTCTCCTCCCTCCCCTCTCACTAACCATTCCTCCCTATCTCTCTCTCCCACCTCCTCTCCCTCCCCTCTCTCACTAACCATTCCTCCAATCTCTCCTCCTCCCTCCTCACCTAACCATTCCCTCCCTATATCTCTCTCCCTCCCTCTCACTAACCATTCCCTCCCTATCTCTCTCTCCAACCCTCCTCCCTTTCTCTCTCTCCTATCCCTTCTCCTCTTTCTCTAACCTTCCCTCCCCTCCACAACACAACACAATAACAACCAACACAATCTACCAGACGCAATAACAACACTTCACAATACCGTTACCATCCTTTGTGTTCGCTAAATATCAATATCCCTTTGTCAGCTACGTATAGTTATTATGTTCAGCAAAAAAAATCAATTAACGTTTCGCATTGTTGTATTAATTTTAAGGAGGTAATAATGAGGTTTACTTAAGCGGTTTTTAAAAGGTAAATCCGGTTTATATTAAAAAAAAATTCCGGGAACGTATTTGTCAGTAATTGAAGCTTTGTTTTTTTTATTCTGCAAAGTGTGATGGTGAAATAGCCGTGAGAAGAGGGGTGGAAATCTCAAGTTAGTATTTTTCTTATTTTTAATTCGTGTTTCCTAAGGCTGGGGAAGATGGGGGAGGGGTGGAGGGGGGGGTGACGTGGGGGAGGGGTGACGTGGGGGAGGAGTGATATCGTGCACCTGGCAGCCTGGAGCGTGGGATGGCTGGTATACAGGTCAACCACCTCTCATTTTCTACGCTAAAAACCTTCACTTTCCTCTTTTATTATGACTCAGTAGACGAGAGGACAGTAGCTGGTGGCGGGTTACTGGGGAGGGTGACTTAGAGGGGTCCTGAGGGCGGAGGGTCATGGCAGAACCCCGCTATAGGGACCCCAGTGAGTCACCCAATGGCGGTAATCTCAACGCTGTGGTCATCTATGGAGACGTGGGTGTGTGGGAGCGCCCGTACCCTGGCCGTGCTCCGCCCTCACTGAATAACGGGACATTGGCATGCAAGAGGCGCTGGGGGCGACGACGTGCAACATGCAACAGCAGCAGAAAGATTTCCGGGGAAAGGTAAAATAGGGTGGGTGACGCGCCCTCCACCAGACGCCACCGCTCACCGTGCTGTTAGGAGGTAAAATGTCAGAGATAGAGAAAGCGAGCTGTTAGTTACCGTTGGCCATGCTGAAGCTGAGTGGTGTAGCGGTGTCGGGGTCGCCAGTAGCTGCCCCAACACTACCAAGACTATCTCCATCATCATCATCACCACCACCACCACCACCACCCACACTCTCTCCACCACCAGGTGACGTGGGGAACGACACCTTACCGTCCAAGTCATCGGTATCTATGGAACCGTAGTTGGTCTGCGGTCCTCCGTCTGGAGGACACCTTAAACCGCTCACTCATGGCGAAGACTCAGTAAAATCCAGAGGCAAGTCACACAACACGCTTTGGTTGGAGCACACACACCCACACTCCACAACCGCTTACGTCAAACTGAGTGGTGATACAGTCAGGATCATGGGGGAAAACATATCAACCTATTTAAACCACTGAAGATGAAATGTATTAACCAAGTATTTATGGCTTACGAATATATTTTATACTTTCTTATCATTAAATAAAGGGATAACGTTGTTATAATAACCCCATCAATAACTAGTGGGGAAATACATCGTACGTCTAGGAGGAGCGCGCCTGACACAGTCCTGACACTTGACATACGGAAATTATTGTTACAAAAATTACACAAATCCTTCACTTACACCTGCGACTTATTCTTCAAGTTTCAGGAATAAAAGTACGTAAATTCGAGTCAAAGGAAGCAAAACAGAAGCGATTTACTGTATATTTGTTCATTAAAATTGTCCATCACCTCACCATTGTTCATCATAAACAAGTTTACAACACCGACAGTATATTGTAAACAGTAACTTAACTCAATCAAGGAAAGCCAAAGAAAGTCGATTTACAACAAAATCCTTAAACTTACCAATAATCCGAATGTAAACTGTTTTAATTTTCAGTAATGTTGTTGAGCAGTTTTGCTACACACACACACACACACTTCAGGCCCCCATGGCAATTTCTCTCTCTCACACACACACACACCTGGCCCCAACAGCAAAATTACGTATTATTCCTTCCCTTTCTCAATTCCTCCACTTTCTCGCTCTACATCTCACATAAGTATTTTATTCCTAGTTCACCACTTGACCAATATTATCATACGAAATATTAAAGACTTTACATACACACACATCTTCACATACGCTTCACTTAAAACTAAAAACATCACTGCTATCACACTGTTAACTCGTAAATAAACACATTTAAACATCCATCAATAAAAACAATACAATTAACATTACAGTGAGACGTTAACTGAAGCTAATCTAATTTAACCTAACATAATCTAACCAAATCTATCCTAACCCAACCTAATTTAACCATATATAATTTAACTAAGCACTGCATATCACAACTAATAACTCAAGACCTCTAGGATAGTTTATGTTACTTCGTGTTGGCTGACGTCTGGTGTAAACGATGTCCCCCATTACCCAGCTGATGTAGTGCTTCTCACCATCCACTGCAGTAGAATTTCTCACCTAAAAGTCTAAAAATATAACAAGGATTATCGGCATTCTAAAACACTCATTTGAACACTTTAAAATACAATAAAAATTAAAGACAATCATTTGAGCATTTTGGAGTTTGGTTCCTGGGTAAGAGACATTTTCAGATTCACTCCAGTGTGTAACAAAATCTTCGGGGAAAAATTAAATTCTGACCAGAAATTAGGGAGGAATAGGCTACGTCTTCCACTCCCTCTGTCTCTTTCCGTTCTTCCTTGGTTCGTTCCATCTTTCCTTCCTTCCCTTTTTCCCTTCCTCATTCCTTTCCTGTTTCCCTTCCTCCTTCCTTCCTTCTCCTTCTCCTTTGCTCAACACAGAGACTTAATTTACTGTACCTGTTACCAAAGACTATAAGAGTCTTTGCTGTTACTGATGAACATAATACTGTAAAATCCCGTCCAGTTAATGAAAAATTATTGGACAAGTCATACGATTTTAGCTAGAGCATCAGTCGAGTTTGCTGTTGTAAGTAATTAACATAGATTTTTACGTTCGGATCTTCCCAAAATAAACTATTACTGTTGATATACACGAAAGGAAAAGCGGTAATGTAGTTTATGAGCTAATATAGAGATCCCTCGTATATGACATAGCTGTTGGCAAGGGAAGTTAAGTGAACGTTGGCATCTGATTTGCTACTAGGATGGTTGACCGTCAACTCAAAATACTGTTGTTGTTGGCATTAAAGAACTTTGAAGTATCTCATGGCTTTGTCAACTATCCTAAGTGAAAATTGACTATATATCTATTATTATTATTATTATTATTAACCAATACTGAAAAAAATATCCTTGTGTTTGCCACTCATCGATCACTTGGTTCAGACATTGGGGAGGAGAATGCTGACTCCACAAGCACAGATTCACAGCTCAGTATATTGTCCCAGCTCAACTCTTAAGAACCCACAGATCACCTTCAGGAGCAGATACACACATACACGGAACAATACAAGAGTTATGTGGGCGACATACACGGAACAATATAAGAGTTACCTGGACGACATACACGGAATATAAGAGTTACCCGGACGATACACGGAACAATACAAGAGTTACCTGGACTATACAAGGAACAATGCAAGTTACCTGGACGACATACACGGAACAATACAAGAGTTACCTGGACTATACAAGGAACAATACAAAGTTACCAGGACGACATACACGGAACAATACAAGAGTTACCTGGACTATACAAGGAACAATACAAAGTAACCTGGACGACATATACGGAACAATACAAGAGTTCCAAAATAAATGTAATCGTTGAAGAAGCCGATGAAACAAGATTAGACAAGAGAAGCCTTATATCACTCACTGAGACGTATTACTAACACGAATGAAGATATATAATCCAACCTTTCACTGCTCTGTGTACCCTGATAACACATGTTTGTCTACTACAGTGGCACGCGTCATGTGAAGAATTACTTAACAGCACCGCCATGACAACTGAATGACTTGTCACTGACGTATATTAGATGCACAGAAACACTTCGAGACAGGTATGATGAGATAAAGGTACAGACAGACATACGAAGACAGGGATGATGAGATAAGGTAAAGGGAGTAAGTTATGTTATGCCGTGGCAAGATTTCGTATTATAATCTTGTTAACTATTTGCTTTGGTTGTTTTCTGTACCATGCAGCAGTTATTTTTGGTAATATAGTGCGGTCTACAAACATGTCTTTAGTCTAACCTAACCGAACCTGACCACCTAACCTAGCCTGACCTAACTTAACCTGACCTAACATAACCTTACCTAACCTGATTTAACTTGACCTAACCATCCTAAATATGTTGTAGACCGCACACTATAGTAGCACCTAAGAGCAGCAAAGTTGTGAACAAAATGCGATAACCGAGATTACAACATGGTTAGTGTGTAGCTGTGATCACTTCTGGAAATAATTAACTATGATCAGTAAAACTTATTTGAGTTAAAAAAAACGTGAAGACTTAGGCAAAATCTTGTGACGTAACATTAGCACTTCACAAAACCCAAAATTATAAATGGCATTTTTGTTAAGGTCTTAAATGAAATGATAAAAAATGACATTTATGATTACCGTAAGTGAGGAGGGCAGTGGTCTCCTTGATGTTATAATGTTATTACTCTGCTTCAATAGCTAAGATCTTTAATTACTTAACAAGTAGGTTAGTAATTACAGTGGTCCTCCAACAATACATAAAAAAGATAGAAATCAACACCGCCAGGCAGGGAGGAACGGGGGCGTCAGAGGCTACGGTGTCACCTCATGGGAATTCAACCAGGGGCTGCAGGTGGCAGCACACGTTAGTAGCAATATCTGTGTTATTCTCTACCGGAAGTTCTGATTTTCTTTTGAAATATCTCACAGTTGTTGTGTACCTGGTTTTGGGACAAGGGCGACAAGTTTCCGGTTCCCTCAACTCCCCAAGGTCAACAAATGAAGTGGAAATGGCGCGTAGAGATCATGCGAGCAGCTTCCTCGGTGGATGGCCAGCAGCCCAATAGAGACATGACAGAGTATACACTGAACATTTTCTGTTCAGTTATTTCAAGGACAATTGAATGATACAGTATATAGTGAGTTTGTCAATACAGTATTTAAGTGTATAGATGCTGTAGTGTATTTTGTGTTTGATATGTTTACCTATGTACAGAATAGTACCTGCACTGTTTAGGTACAGTATACAGTATTGGAAATTGTTTACCAGTACTGTATTGTCTATACGTATATAGTACATGTTGAACTGTGTGTCTGACAATTTTACTGAATAAATATCTACCTCCAGTTATTTCACCCCAAAATTGACCACCCAATGTTAACCTAACCTAATACCCATGGTAGTAGTAGGTGAAAGAGGCTGGGGCTAATGTTAAGGTGTCTCCCATTATGTGTTGAACGACTGCTAAAGCCACAGTAATTATAAGCAGTTTGGTGAAAACAATTCAATTGTTTGTTTATTGAACACCATAATCAGTAAGATTTCTTTGTAATAATAAATATGGTTAAGTTAGGTTAAGATAGGTTAGGTATGATGTGAGAATAGGTTATAATATTATAATAATCATATTCGGCAAAGTTCTAAAAGTTTCCAATTAGATGAACATGATTATAAACTATGCAGTTATACAGTTCAACATGATTATAGATAATATAAGTACAGTTTAGGTAACTACTGACGACTGACTCGCTGCTGATTTGTCATAGAAAACGAATTTAAAAATGCTGCAATTTCACTGTGTTTTATAGTGGACACTGTCATAGTTTTGGCAAATGTGTTAAAAAGTGGCTATATCTAAATTAAACACAACCTTAGTTTATAAGAAACACAAGCCGCTGAAGTATTGTCAGAAGACCTCAGCAACCTACCTAACCTAACCAAAGAAACCTACCTAACCTAACCAAAGAAACCTACCTAACCTTACTTAGCTTCCTAGCCGTGTGGCTCAACCCTCCGGACCCCCTGGCATATTAAACAAAAAGAACTTAATATGATATTGTATAATTTTATGCTTTGTGTGGATGTGAGGGCAGCTGCCCGGTTCGTGTGACTCAAACATACACTTGCGACTGGTGTCAATTAGAGATGATTGACTGTGTATCGCTGCATCACTGCTGAGAAAGACAAAGTATGGGTAGTGCGTGCCTAGTTACCTGATCATCTGCCAAAGGAAGCAATTTCTCCCAAAATGATTATCATACCATAACTCACTGATAAAAAGATAGTAAGAATATAAACACCGAAACAAATAATGCATCAGCGGGTTAGTCATCAATACAGCATTAGTCACAGTGTTTTTATCCCATTTTCCTCTCTTCTTTCACGTCTTGCTCACTAACAAGTAATTTTGATTGCAGGATAGGCTAAAAAGAAAAAATACTACAATGTTGTCGCTTCGATTCTATTACCTAGTATCATCCAAACGACATCTGAAAATTTGGTGCAATTCCATAAAGTTCTGGTGCTAACCGTCTCCTCCACCTTTACCGTTTTAAATATTCTTTTATTGAGTATTATTTTTTGTTGATTTAAATTTATTACAGTAATTACTTCGATTTTGGAGATATCGAACACAGGACCTGACCTAACCTGACCTGACCTAACCTAAATATCTTGTAGACCGCACTCTATAGTAGCACCATTATTTTGTTATGTAAGTACTGTGTAGATGGTATATGAATTCTTAAAACTACACAATTCTGAAAATGTGCAGCACAGTTTGAGGGTTGAGACAGTCTTTTTGGAGCCAAGGTAAATTATTTTGATATCGATGAAGCCTTAAACCCAGAGATATGGGAGAGTTAAGACTTTATTGATGGAGATATAACCCATATTTTTATTATTAATTTATTTTATGTACAGGCGGTGATCATAAGCACCTGAAAGCCAGATGCTGTCGCCTTGGTGTTTAACGTGAAAGGTACTGAACACAGTGTACAGTATATGATAAATGAAGAGTGATATTATGTGGCTATCAGGTAAAGGTTCAGGAGATGGATGTCACTTCTCACCTAAGATTAACCACCAATACTGTAATGTTAACCTATCCTAACCTATTATAACCTAACCTATCATAACGTGACCGGTCGTAACCTGACTTTGCCTAACCTCACTGCCCCAAATAGTGCTACAGTGGTTAATCTTTAGGTGAAATAAGCTTGGGTGGAGATTCTTCTGATAATCACAAATAACTAAAAGAATAATCAATGAAAACAGACAGACTTAGACCATATTTTGTGTGTAAATTGACATGACACCTATAAGCAATGAAGGGGATATCCAGACAAGGGTAGTGTGTCAATGACTGGACAGTATGATGAGTGAGTCAATGTTTTGGTGGAGTACTGTACTGTACATGGTGTTGTGTGAAAAGATGAAGGTAAACCATGGAAACATCATGGCCCTCATTGTGCTACACTTGAACACATTTACACCAACAGAAGCAAGAAAGGGAGTTTATAGGGTGTCCCAGAAAAATGTCCCTCCCTCCCTCCCTCCAGCTCACAGTCTCTCAGGGAGCAGGCAGGGAGAGAGGGACATGTATCTGGGACACCCCATATATATGTGTTTTTACTTAACCCTCTCATAAAAGGCGAAAAAACTTACGCTCATCCTCGCGACACCAACGTGGCGTCCGATGGGGTATTTTCAAATGACTCAAAAACTATTCAGTGAAACTGACTGAACTTTGGACGCCATTTGACAGATGTCGTTTTCTTTGTGTGGGCCTTATCACCTTCCCCGAGTCGGTCTCAGTCACCGTGTGAGTGGCGTGTGATGTTGCTCTGGCCATTAGAGCGAGAGGAGGTTGCACTGCTCGGCCCATTAAATTATTCCATGAATTTTTGTTATATTAATTTTCCTTATACCACAATATTCTACATGCTTTGTTCTTTATTTTAGTATGTAGTACATATCAGTGAACATCATAATATAAGCAAAATGTGAATGGAAATCGAGATGTTACTAAGCATTTTCCTACTTTTCAACTTATACTAAAAAAAGTGGCTTAAATTTCAAGAATTTTCAATTATTTATGGTTTCATACAATTTTTCAGACAATTTGACGCTATAGGAGACCCCATTACAATTTATAAAACAATTCCATGACAGATAATTGAGCCCTAAAAAAAAAAAATCTAAGATTTTTTGTCAAAAACCTCCAAGGCCGAGCGTAAGTTTTCATGCACGTATGTGTCTCAGGCTCCGAGGCTGAGAGTTAAGATTTTGGCCAAATTGCATTGTAGTGGGAAAAAACTCAAAGGATGAAAAGTGGAGAGAAAAATCCCTAAAACCTCATATTTCAACTGTGAATCACCTGTACATTGGCTACATTGTTTGTTCTGACGACAATTTGAAGTGCCTCTTTGACTGAAGAATGTTTCATAAGTAATCTTTGTATTAGTTTACTCTCAGCTTGTTAATGCTTGATTTAGCTGATGATAATGATGTATTGTTTGTCTGTCACACAGTCTTGATGTTGACATATTTGGGCAAATTTAGTAAACGGGATTTACATTAGATTTTTATTAACAGGGAATAACAAGATGATTCAGATATGTATTTCAGAATTATAAGGAGTTAACTTTTAGGAATTTGTTGTCAAAATTATATTACATGTGCAATTACTGTGTTCAGTTTTCTGGGTTTTACTATTTATCTTTTTTGCAGATAATGTATCCAGTCACTTTGTTGTCAAGATCACCCCTTGGTACAGGAGATAAGACTTGGACCTCCTGTTGTGTGTAAGAACATTATATAGATTGGTATTATGGTCACTATTTGTTAACACTGTATGAAGCATAGTCTAATGTGACATTTACATACAGTACTTGGATATACTTTATTATTTTGTGTTTTTATACACTAATATTTATAGTTTTATATCTTTTTGATAAACTCCATCATGATCTTGATTATTTTTCCCTTCATCTGCTGTTAGTTTTTAATTTTTCTTCTCATCTGTCAAGTAAATGAGGGACTTTAGCTGTGCCCTTTTAGTCATTCATTCTGGAGCCATAATTTAACTCTCCCTCACCTTCAGAGGACCCACCACACTATAGGAGGTACTCGGGAGAGCAGTGATATATACACCATAATAATTGTGTCAGAAAAAAGCAGTTAAAGATTTATTTACACATCCTTAAACTAGACTGAATTTTCTATCTTTTGACACCAGTTTCATCATAAGCATGTGGTGGGTTATGGAGATACTGTACACGGAAAATAACTTATGCCAACTGTAACCCCTCGTGTATGGGGTCTCCTGTGTTGAATAGAATCGTCTGCCGTTAGCCAAACAAAATATTAAAACTGGCATCCCTGTAGTGAAGTTCTTAACTCGGATTATCTCAAATGAAGATCTGGTGTACTGTATTCATCACTGTTGCTCTGAGTGCCTCATGTGTCATCTTTAATCAATAGTTTTACTCAACAGTTGAAGGTTTAGTCATTAAAGTTGAGAGGTTAATGTAGGTTAAAGAAAGAACACTTAGAAATGGAACTTGAAGAATGTATGTAGTTATTAAAGTTAACATCAACATTATAATGCCTGTACAGCAGTAGGCTCTTTATGGTACATGTTCTTACAGGTTTTTCCTAAATATAACTGAAACACAACTATTACTCAAGTTAGATTTAAGACGCTTCAAATTATTAAATGTGCAGTACAGTTGCAGACAAGATTCCCTGAACATTTAGCAGTATCTGGCATGTACTTGTGGGTTTTATACTGTATATGATTGCTTTATATCTATCACATTATATTAGAAGCACCAAAAAAAGACAAACACACTTCTTAATTCTGTGCAAAGAAAATACAAGAAAATACACCAAAATTCCAATCCCCTTACCTAGTGTTCCTAAAGTGTGAAGGGAATTATCTGCAGCTGTATGTTATCCATATATACAGTTGTTTAACTGCTCTTAATAACTTTATCTCTGAAATATATAACTAAAGTAGATTTGTTCTACCTGTAAATTAAGTCGAGTAATGGCATATCTCAATTTTAACTAAAATACTATCTAACTTAAAATCTTATTCCAAAATCATCAGGAGAAAGAGAGAGAGGAGAAAGAGTGAGATTAAACCTGGACAGTATCTGAACATTTAATTCTAATAAATCAACTCAACATTTTATACAGGTAGATGGTATAAATCTTTGTATTTATTACCTGTCTTTCTGGAAGTGACTTTGCCACCTATTATGTTTTATAGTGATGAGGCTTTACAAGGCTGTGAGATCATCTGGGACATCTCCAGGTAGTTTCAGCCACAGTAAGGAAGAAAAGTTAACCAAACATATGAGAAAGACGACAAAATTAATGATACATTTCAGGTAGTTGAAATTTGAGGGTCAATCAATGCAGCCAGGGTGATGACATTTTCTGTACACTACAAATAACTTAATAAAGACTTAAGTTTCAGTAAATTTGTAATGATGATCTAAAAATATTAAAGCCCTGTCTCATGAGCCTGGTGAGGAAATAACCAATGGAGGTATTTATTATCATACTTAAATCTTGCTACATTTACACCATTCATTTACACTAATCCGGGTTTTCAATGTGGGTTTGACTAAGGAAACTATAATGATGTTAATTAGTTCTTGCTTCCTTCAGTGATGCCAGACGAGTACTGTACATAATAGTCTGATCACCTTCAAGAAAGATGAAGAGATCATTTTGTCGTCTAGTTCCCATTGCCACCACCAGTGAGGGCCAGAATGTACATGAAGAGGTTGACCACATCCAGGTACAGGTTGAGGGCAGCAAAAACGTACTCCTCGGGGGAGATGGCCAGCTTATGGTTGCCGCCCAACATGATCTGTGTGTCAAAAACTAAGTAGGCAGAGAAGAGGAGAGCACCCAAGCAGGCATACATTATGTTCAGCACTTTGCTCTGGAAGATGGCTGCGAAGATGCCGAACATGAGTAGTGAGATGAGCAAGACGAACAGAAGCCCGCTCTTCATCGTGAAGTCCCACTTTGTCTGCCAATGTAAGAAGTTTTCATTTTAAAATTGCTCAGATGTAGCTCCCATCAATAATGATATCTGAACCTGACTCCTAAGATTCCAGTAAATATGACAAGAGAATAAATAAGAGAAGCTGGAGCTTGTGGTTACCATTATTTTCTTAGTATTTCATCTGTGACATAATTTTGTACATTGTGACAAGGTTTTAAGTGGAAGAAAATCCTCATACAAAACTACAGTGTATAATAGTTTGTTACAACACTTCAATAACATAGTATAATAACTTATACAAAAAAAAAGTGGCAATTAAAAGTATAAATTGTGAAACTGCTTTGTGCATTAAGTTAATAGATAATGAAGAGAGGTTGTTTTGCCTGAAATCTGGAGGATAGTGAGCTGGTTCATTATTAGAAATCTGAATGGACAGTAACTTAAACACTCACCCATTACATACTTAAAATCATATAAAAACCCAATAAATTATTTTCTGTATACTATAATATAGCAGCAGATGAAATGTCTAGTTAGTAATGTATACATAAATTCTGGCCTCCACTCTCTTAACCACAACTTGCACGTAAGTGATGACCTATGAGGGTGACTAGCTGTTCACACTTAATACTGTTGGTGACAGGTCAAATGCAGTTACAGTACTGGTAAGTGTCAATAGCAGGTGTGGCTCACTTTAGGTAGATATGCACTTCTTTCTGCCAGCTGTTTCTTGCTGGACTTCAACAATAGAATTTACTTGCACACAGAACTGACCATAAAAGGGAATAGAGACTGCCATTTCTCCATTCAAATTCCAAAATTAGTTGTATACTGTATTTTAATTAACACTGGTCAAACATTTCCACCTTCGAGTGAACTGAATAAGAACTTTGATAATTACCACAGAATCAACTTTGTACAGCTGTAGGAGAAAAATTTAGTTTTTACAAATAAATTTGATGCTGTAAACAGAAATACAGGTAAATTTATTGGTTTAGCTTGATTTTAAGTGTGCAACAGGTGAATATCCAAATTTATACCTACCTGGAATTCACTCAAAATAGTCTGCACACTACTCTGTAACTTTGGCAAAATAACTAAAAATAATGGAGAAAAAAGATGACTTACCTGGAAAGCAAATATGGTAAGAGCAACACAAATAATGATGGTGATGCCGATGGCAATTGTGACCTCCCAAGCAGTAAAGGTGGCACTGGCACACCCTAAGAGCCATCCCTCGCAGATAGTAAACACGAAGAGGGCGATGTAGTTGAACGGCGTCTTCCTTCTGAAGTCACTGCAGCAGGCCAATAGGATGATCATAGCAAAAGTCACGCCAAAGGCACTCCAGAACAAGGCAGGGGTGTGTAGGGCAAAGTCTGTGACTTGAGGAACCCAGATGAAGAGAGCCACAATGCCGAAGGTGATGACCAGTTGAACGACGAGCAGACTGTACACCTTCCTAGGATGAGAGTGTTGTCACTTTGCCTTTCTTTCATTTTTCTCTTCTCTGACATTCTTTCTTTTTCATAAAGTTCCACCTTTTATATACAAGTATCTCATTTATATTAACTACAGAAAAACCATATTTACATGTATAGGTGTCCCTCAATTGAATATACTGTACGTATTGAATTTTATTTCAACTTTACAATATTAAATAATTTAATTATATCAGTAGCGTATTCTCAATGAATGCAAGGCCAAGGCATGCCTAGTAAAAAGCAAAGTAATTCTTAAAAATTAATTTCAGTACATTATTTACTTATGAAATTACTGTTAGTGTAACCATTATAATAACGTACAGTATAGTATAGTACTATAGTCGTTCAAGGAACCTAACCCCTGGTATAAATGAGACTCCAACTACAATACTGTTGTACTGTACTTGTATCCAGGACTAAGAGGATAAGGTAATACTGACATAAAAGTAACAACACCTTCAAGTGAACTCCACACATCATACTGATACTACAGTAATTATAAAACTGAGTGATAAACACTAAGCTAGGCACTTACCTAATGAAGCCCATCCTGATGGACTTTTCTGAGAAGCTTAATCCACCATTGTTTTCAGGGTCATAATCCATCTTGTGTGTTGATACGTAGACTAGCTTAGGAGAACACGGGATGTTTGTACCAAGTAGTGTGATGGACTGTGGTGGGACCCAGAGGCAAGGATCAGTTCACAAAGGTAAGTGCCGATGACAAGGTTTTGGTGAAGTTGTCACTGGATCAGTTCTAACCTGTGGGTACAATATTTATACTGTTGTCATTAATGTCAACAAAATGGACACGACTCGGAGTCATACCTATTGAGACATACAGACAGAATGACAACCACACTTAAGTTGGTCTAAATTTTGAAATCCTCACTCAGGTGCCAGGGCAGATCACCTTTACTTGGGGCCTATAGGGTTCAGCCTCACTAGTTTTAATGATAATCTGCCACAGCTCAGGTGTTGATTAGTTGAAATTTTGATAAAGAATAAGGAATACAATAAAATGTGGTACAGTACTTTTCTACCTAAAAAATTTAAGATAAGTTTATCAATTAGCTAAACTTAACCTAACCTCGGTTAAGTCAGGCCAGACCTTAAAACTTTTGATAAAGTAAATAAAACTAACCTAACAACCCTATGTCTGGTAGATCAGGCTAAAATATTGTGGTTGATATTATTGTTAGGCTGATTATTGTAGGTTAGGTTAGCTTAAATAAGGTCAGGTTGGATGCTTGGGTTTGGTTGATTATGGTTATGTTATTTGGTTGGTTTGGATATGTTATGTTATACCCTGTGACTAGAGCAAATTATCTTATCCTGATGGGGACAATAAGACCCAGGGAACAACAATACATTTGGGTGTTCAGGGTTTATAAATCTTCTACAGTAAACACAGGTGCTAACAATGACTAAAACTGTATCACTGTTGACCAGTAGTAAAAGAGGATATTTTAGTTTATAGCAGCAACAATGCATTAGAATTTCTGATTATGGAAACACGAAAAAAAACCGAATGTGTTTCAAGTGGATACCATCTTAAATCTCACTCTCCCCCCCCCCCCCAAAATGACATGAGTTCACTTCAAAGAAAGTTGCTTTAAGTTAGTAATGTCATGTCTTAATTATTCATGGCATCTTAATAACCATCGACTGTGTCTTGGGGGCACTGAGCTTCATGTTTCACTTGGAACTAAAAGTTGGCAAAATACATTATGTCATGGTTAAGACTACCCTCTTATGGTGTGGTAACTATGGGTAGCTTCAGCAGCGCAAGATGTAAGTTTATTTTGATGGTAACGTCTTACTGTAATGATGATGATGATGATGATAATAATAAAGCTACTCTGTAAACTGAGATGACACTGATCGCTTTACATCCATGACAACTCAGTGGAGTTTTAAAATTTCGTTAGTAGAAACTAAAACTTATTTACATATTTTATTATTCACTGAAGATACAAAAGTTTAATTTCAGACTGATTTGATAATGGTCCGTATGGGTGATCGAGAAGCAAAAGTTGACTTATAAAGGTTCACAGGTAAAATTATTACGCTAACATTAAAATACACCAAATTCACTTACTTGGCCATAAACATGTTCAGTACAACTGTATATGGCAGCCAAACTAACGTTAAAAATTTAAGTCGGGGACTACAGTAACTACAGGGTGCCGGGAATTATAACTTCCTTAATGATTACAGAATCCTTGAAGAATACGCATCCAAAATTTCGTTATATGTGCCATGATTTCCTGCAAACTTAAATTTCATCATGTATACATCGAATCCAGGAAAAAATAGTCAGGAAAAGGCACGGAAAAAACCTAACCTACGTGCAATGCCGTCATATAAATATACTGTACTGTGTTGTCAATGTGTACAAGTCATGTGACCTTTTTTCCTATGACTTTATTTCCTTTCACCTACACATCGTGCCAAGAGCTTTATGGGGTTAGAGGAAACCATAATTTAGACCTTTCCCTATACTGTGTAACACTTCACACACCTTTGGGTGATTATCCACCTGTTCACACTGTTTTAAATAAAACACCCGGTACTCCTACTTGACTGTGAACACAGCGAAGCGCGACTACAGAAGATAATTCAGTTCTACTACACATCTCTTATCTCGTTTTCGTTGCCAAGGGTGGACGTGGAGGCCCCTGCCCCCGCCCCGTGCCGTGTGACTGTCAGGATAAGATAAGTTAACAAATATTGCGTGACGCGCACACTGCCGCGTCATAAACAAGTATGGAAATAAAACCTATTCTCAATGTCGATTAATTGCATATTGTGTTCTCATGCACTAGTGCCTTACTAAAGAGATTATTAATGCTTATTATAAAACAAAACATTACATATATTAGCATTATCATCCACACAGCCCAAGCACATGGGGCCATGGTAGATGCACCACGAAAGGCACAATAGTTGACGTGAACATCTAATTTAACTGAATAAACGATTGAATAAATAAAATGTAAAGAAAACAAACTAAATATGTCACTCGCATCACAAAACAGAGGTGGGAAAGGCCTGTGGCAAAGACCATCTTTAGATGGTCTTTGCTTGTGGTGTCATATGGCGTCACGGAGACTGTGACTGCTGAAATAAGTCGTATAGTTTACATTTGATTTACCATGTGTATAGACAATGTTTGTATACAGTTCAACAAGTGTATAAATAAAGCAGGTGAACACCCTCCACTAAAAGTATCATTACCTTTTCCATCTTTACAATTTGAAATGCTGCACGAAATGCTTTGAAATATTCTCCAGTACATCGTATGATGGTATTTTATTTATGGGATTTGTTTTAGTAACCATTTATAATTTTACCGTTGAAGCGTAGTAATAACATTATAAGAACAACCATCAGAAAGTCTGAGCGTAAGGGTACGAGGAATGCTGAAATTTTGCAATGCTTACAATTTGAAGACGAAAGAAATTGAGGAGAGAGAGAGAGAGAGAGAGAGAATAACCCCAAAAATGTGAACAATATATGAAAGGACAAGAAAATGATCTGATGAAGAAAGTGGATGGATAGCAGTATTGGTCTGGTAATTGTAACTGGTTTAAATCCATCAGAACTACGATCTTTTGCACTTTCTCAGTAGTGAGGAAAGGAGAGAAAAATTATGCGTGGAGAGGAAGGGATTTGGGTCTGGAGATAGAAGTGGAGGAGGGAGATTAGCAAAGGAGGGGGGTGGTGAAGGAGTAAGGGGGGTTTGTTGACATATAATAACCCTTTGAACTGACATTAGCTTCTGTTTTAATCCTTTCCTATGAGCAGAAAAGCCCCAACCTCCCCCCCCTAGCCTACCGGTCTGTATCCCTCTGCGTCCCCTCTGGCAACGCCTTCAGCAACACCTGCCCCTGCCTGGCCTCACCTGGCTGCAACACAACAGTCCCGGCCGTCTCCTAACTCAACTACTACTGGGCCTCCTCCCCGTCTCTACTCTGACACTGTCAGGCCTTGTGCCCCCACCGGTGCCCCCCACAACCCCCCTCCAGTGACACGACACCGATCATACCCCTCTTACACGGATTTACCAACCGTGTTGAAGACTCTTTGTACCGCCATCTCCAACCTACACAGACTACCCCTGCCTCCAGCTGCTACCCAGTCACTTCCCTCTTCTGGTTTGACACAACCTGGTAGCCCCCCTGTGTGCCCCTCATGCTCACGGCCTACTCCACCGCCGCCTGGCATCACTGCTGGCGTGGCACCTACTGAACCTGCCCCGGTGTGCCCTGCTGCCCCCGTCCACCCACCGCAAGCTGCACCTGCTCATGGACCCGAGGACACCACCCCGGCTCCCAGTTCCCCACCGGCACCTGGGGCCCATCCACTCCAGTTCTCCACATCAATTGACCACCATGCGGACATGCTAGTGAATTACGTATCTACGCCAAGAAGGACGTCCCCTACCAACCTCTCGACGTCCCCCTTGAAGACACTACCGACGTACACGCCATCACAATCACACTAAAAGGTATGTCCCTCAATACTGTCAATGCCCATGGCTATGGCCTGGCACTTGACATTATTATGGACCTGCCACGCTTTGCCATAAAGATAAATTGTACCGGGAATTTCCCCCCACACACTCATCATTCTGTCACTTTATGTAACTTGCTGACAAAACCCATGACCCTTCAGGCTTTTACGCCCTTATGCACGAGTCATAAAGGCAAGCATGAACTACACATGCTTCCCAGATGGGCGCTGTAAACGCTTCACCGTATTAGCCTGGGATACCCATGAGGATACCGACCTATCTGGTAAGTCAATCCCACATCTAATACTCTTCAGTAATAATGCTTTGATGGTCCCAATGTTAGGGACTTGCTACAGGGAGTCACTCATTATGTCACCATTTGTTTGTCCTCGATAATTAGGATGTATTGTATAGCGCTTCCGGTGCGTTATCCACACTTTGGTGGTGATAAGGTTCTATTCCTTGTGGTTGACTGCAAGTCTTCTGATGAGGTTGCCGCCGTTTACGTCAATGGTCTTGTTTGGGGAAAAAAACATGGCAAGATAGAAAGTAAATCTATACAACCGATGGAAATAAGAGAGTAAATACAGTAATGGGAACTTAGCACAAACAATAGGAAAAAAAACCCTACAAAACAGATGAAAAGGCAACGCCGACATCTTGCCACACCAACCATGGCTCTGCATCATACCACATATTCAGTAATTTTATATGTGAATTATGATGTTCTTGTTAGTGTACACGATAGTTTGTCATTAACTCGTATAAAGCATTTTTATCACTGATAGCCTCTTATTAGCTTCCCTACGTTCACTAAAAGTGTTGCAACTGCTGTGGCACCGGCGGCGTCCTTCGATAACAGATGGTAATCTTTATCAATAACTAGCGCCGATTAGATAATTATCTGACAACAGGCGGATGGGGAATGAGTCATTTACAATGGCTGTCTCTTGCGTATTTACTTAATACATTTATGTTACTGTACTAACGGGAATATTGCAATATCCATCGCCCGTGGTGTCATTCATACAGAGTGGATAGATACTTGTTATTTTACCGTGTGTACAATATGTGGAATAAATTAGTATTAGCGTATTACTTTTGGTAATAGTCGTGACAAGCAAGATGTTAAATGTTTAACTGTGCAGGCCAACAACAACAACAATAATAATGATAATAATAATAATAATAATAATAATAATAATAATAATAATAATAATAATAAATCCGTAAATTTGTAATATAGGTTTATAATTGGATAAGCATGTCTGTAAGTTATGCAGTTATACAGTTTAACATGAATATAGACAATATAGGTACACAATACACATAGGCCGTGGGAGTATACCTGTAGTTTCCTTTGTGCCGAGACAGTGCAGGTAAACAACAATGATAAACAATAAGACAACTTGACCAAGGATATCCGACAAAACTACCAGGTGGTTATTTCTAAATGCCCTTAAAATGCCAAAATTGTACAATCAAACCTGAACGCGTGGATGGAAAACTAACAGCGTACTACTGTACTCTTAACTGCACAGGCAAAGGCGGCCACACACTGGGTACTTTCCTCCCAACAGTGCCTGGCCAACACCGTCCGTCACACTGGGACGTTTTATTGGCTGGTCAATGGTGACCCTGAATAATGATTTGATAATACTAGAAATAAGTTTTAAATTGACGAAGAAATAGACAAATGTCACCGTTTTATTTGTTAAAATTTAAGTTATTAAAATTATTATTGTTTCTTGATTTATTAAAATTTTTACTTAAATATTCAACATCAAATATGAAGCTCATATGAGCACTAATGGCCAACAAAGCTCGCCGCCAAACCATTGTTCATTTCCCGCAACAAAGACTATAAACGATTTATAGTCTTTGTCCCGCAACAGGCAAACTCCTGCTGCTTGCTGGGCCGTCAGCAAAAACAGCCAACATGTTGGGAGGAAAGTGCCCAGTGTGCCGCCGCCTTTACTGGGCTGTGTGATGTCTGTCGGTGAAAAAACCCTACAAGCTAGAGTTGTGCAGTTAAAACGGAACGAGTGGAGGCAAGGGCGACAACTTGCGAGTTGCGGAAGCTCATTGCTCAGTCCAAACACTATCTCCGTGTTGGCAAGATGTCTGACCTGCGTAATATTTCGAGGGAATTTGTTGCCGAACCCATTAGGCTCTACCGAAGTGAACAGTGACAGGCAACAAACACAACATCGACTAAGGTAAGTGTTAAACAATTTGTTAATTAACCATTTATGTACAGTATTTTGTTAAACTATATTTGTAGGTGTATATATTTAAATATGTAGGTAGTCAGCAAATAAATAAGAAATATCGCATGTACTTTCATAATATTAGCCCAGTGTATTAAACCTTGGTGCATTGTCTCATCACGCATACAGTATTAAACCTACAAATATAATTATGTACCTTAGCCAACGAATGACAGGCCAGATCAGGTCACACATCATTGCATAATACAATATAGACAACAAAGATATACGCATTAAAGCCTGTAATCCCATCGACTCATAACAAGTCCGATCTCACAACAGCTCTTAATATCAGTTATATGTTTTCACTACAGTAATTAAAAGTCATGTACAGTATTCAAGTGGAAAATGAGCTGTATACAGGGTGATTCATTTGTTTAACACCTTTCACCTTCCTCCCATCCCCGTTTGCCTTGGGGTTAGGTTAGGCTAAAGTTGGGTTGGGTAACTTTTTCTGTGGTTATTTTCCTTGCGATTTTTTCCTCTACATTCTTCTTTATAAGTTTGTAAAATAAACTAATCCGCTAGGTTTTAAATTATAAGATTTTGTCCAGCGTAGTGTTGTTCGGTTCGGTTATGTTAGGTTAAATGAGACCTACTGTATAAAGGGAAGGTGTGACGTGGGATTTATGTAATGAGAAAATTGTGGTGTGGTATTTAGTCTAGAAGGGTTTGTATACTTGGGATTTTATACGGCTAGGGTTAGTATAATGGAGAGTTTACTAGATAAGAATGTGTTATCAGCATTATAACATGAATGAGGTATTGGGAAGCGTTCGAGTTACAGCTGATAGTATAGTAAGAGTGAGGGGATGGACGACATTGCCTTTATGAGATGGATGATGTTTGTTACTGTCTTTATGCTCTGTACGAGGGATGGGCGACCTGGTGAGGGGGTGGGCGACCTGGTGAGGGTGGGCGTCCTGGTGAGGATGGGCGTCTTGGTGAGGGTGGGCGTCCTGGTGAGGGATGGGGCGGGGGGTGGGCGTCCTGGTGAGGGTGGGCGTCCTGGTGAAGGGGGGGTGGGCGACTTGGTAGTGGGCGACTTGGTAAGGGGGTGGGCGACCTGGTGAGGGGGTGGGCGTCCTGGTGAGGGGGTGGGCGACTTAGTGATGGGTTTGGCCGACCTGGTGAGGGGGTAGGCAATTCCCCTAAACAATAGTGGATCACATCCTGATCAGTCATATGACCAATCATGTCTTTCGTCACCAGTTAACGTTATCAGTGACGTCACCGGTGAGATTAATAATCACACCATCAGTCATGTTAACGATTGTCACCAGTTACATCACCAATCGTTCACACATGTCACCAGTCATATTGCCAGCTCAGTCATGTCACCAATCATGATAAGCTTAATAATGCAGCCAGCACTCATGTCACCATTTTTGTCATCATTCATGTTGTCAATAGTCATGTTAGCAGTCATCGTGTTACCATCTCAGCAGGTATGTCACCATTCTTATTGCTAGCAGCCATATCATCATTTGTTACCAAGTCATGTCACCATTTATGTTGCGAATTCGTGTCATTATTCACGTTATCAGCAGTCATGTCATCAGTCATATCTGTGTTGTGGGAGTCAATATGATAAACAAAGACAGTAAATAAAGCAACAGTGACTAAACTCCCCTAACATCTACCGCTCTACCTTAAGTTTATATATAATTAATCACCTAACAATCAACAATTAATAAAGAGAGATATTAGATGTTTTAAATCATTCATTACTTCACAATCAAATCATTAGAATTTATTTTGAATTTTGTTATGGGTGAGTTTATGAACGGTGCTCCAAAAACACAACTCCAGAATTCACTCTCTTTGTACATCAGGAATTTGGATAACAAAACTCAATGCAGGTAAATATCTGAACTCCTTACACCTTAAAAGGAGGATAGTATTGTTGGGTATGTGGTTATAGTGATAATTGTGCTGTTAATTACTCCTGGACCGTACCTTGAGCATAAAACAATAAATGGTGATGATGGTGTAGTTTACGTGCCATCATAGTGAGGTTGATACAGTTACGGTTTAATGTGGATATGAACTATAAATGCATCTTGTGTATTTTGTGGATAAAACCAATTGTAGATGTGTTCTCGGTAATTTTGGTTACAGCTGTGTGGATTGTAACTTGACCCAGCTTAACCTTTGCATCAACAAATGGTAACTGTTTCTATTTGTCTCATAGCAAGTGTCCAGCTGCTTGTATGAATTATATGCACTACAGCATATTCAAATAAGTCACTGCTGAACTATAATTTCCACCGGAATATAATTTAGGTAAGGTTAGGTAGGTTTCTTTGGCTGGTTAGGTCAGGTTCTATTAGGTTCTAGGGTAATTTTTCGTTAACCACCCATCACCTTTTTTCACATGAAAACTATATTTTTCGCTTGTGTTCTTGCTGTTTTATATGATTCTGACATTTATAATCATCTAAAACAGCAAGAAAACCTAACCTAACTAAAAAATAAAGTGATTTGCCCCAAGCTTGTGGTTACTTAGAATGTGGTTTTATGAGGTTACACAGACTTGAATTAAGTCTGGCTTGGCCACTTTTACAACCGAAATGTGGCACATGCTGTTGTTTATTTTTACTCTCTTGTGATTCACACACCTCAGCTCAACATTATAGAACTACTGTATTTTCTTAGACTGCTCCTAAGTTTCTTCAAGCCACTCACTTCCTCATTTACCGAAGAAATATATTTTTTCAATGGTTTCTTTCAGTCTTTCAACCTAGATAAATAACCATGATAAGGTCAACTAACTGGATTTGTGATGTGTTTTATTGTGGTCTATTATCATGTAGCCCCCAGTAAAATGATTGGGAATACTTGACGAGGGCGGTCAGGCCTCAGTACAAACGTGAAAAAATTTCTTCATGGTAAGATAAAAGATGTCGTACCTCGTGAAAATGACATACGTGCACGAGGAATGGCTTTTATGTAATACCATAACAGTATCTTTCTCTATGTCTGAAATCTGCAGAGGAAGACGGCAAGGTAGATACCCGTGCACATCAAGTTTAGAGTTTTTTATTAATTTATTTTATTTGAAATATATCACACGTATAATAAAATATAATATGGGTATGAACAGCAGTTACTAGTACACTTACTTATCATATACGTACGTGCTGTAATACATATAATGTTACTCCCAGGATAAGACAAAAAATGTGAAAATTGTACACAGAAAGAAATTGTATTTAATTTTTGCTGATTGAAATAGAAATTAAGTTTAATTCTGTACAAGTATTTTAGATCAGGTTTGGCTTGGTAGATTAGTTATCTTCATTTTATGAACAATAAATTATGGAATGTAGCTGCATAAAAAAAATCTAAGAAATGAAACAGCATTTGATTGTAGACCGTAAACTTGGCAGACAGAGGCAGCTCCTTCAGAGGTGGAGCCGACAGTACAGGTATTACAAATATTAAATGTGAGATCATGTAAAATGTATTCCTCTGCATTTCATGTTAGCTTTAAGATTGGGGGAACTGAGAGGATCTGCTTATGAACATCCCTCTGTGGTTGTGAAGGTTCCTAGTACATGAGCTGATGAGTGGGTTTGGATCTTGTGATCTGAATCCACATGCAACCTCAAATCAACCACTAGTTCATATTAGACCAATTAGAGTACAGTATATCTGACCCATTAAGCATGTCATGGTTTTGTCAACAGATGAGTATTATCAGGGAGTGTTGAGTGGAGTTCTCACAGGTTCATTTGAGGTGTACAGTATACACTAACAAGGGCAGATGTCTGAATATCTCAACTCAGCTCAATTTCCAGGCTGCACTGCATATTTTCTGCTCTTGTTGTCTTATAGGGATTGCACCATGCTGGAGGGGTATCCACGTTATCTGACAGGAATGCTGGGGTTATGGGATGACATAGAAAATTGGAAATTGAGCTCTTCTGTGATATGCCCTTGCTAGTCTAAACGTCTCATTAAATTTTTTCTTGTGGTCATAAAATGGAGTTTCATAATTCTGTCCTTTACAGCTCAACTTAACTTTTATTTTTGCTTAATATTATGAGGTACAGTCCTGGACCGAAGTTTGTGATAGAATCAAGGTGGAGAGTGCAAAGTCCACTCCACCTTTACTGGATGGTGGGTTGCTGTCAGTGCTGCCACACATGAAAAACAAAGTTTACCAGATTCGTGTCTGAATCTTTCCAGATCGCTTAAAAAAAAAATTCAAGGTATGACAAAATTGTATCCACTTATAATTATTTTAATTTTAATCAGTACAGTTCTACAAAATGTAAATTTTTAAATACTGTTCATGAAAAATAATAGATAATCAAATTAAATTAGACACTCAGTATTCTGCATTACAAAAGAAAATGAAATGTATTTGTTGGACGGGTTTAGACGAGCCTAAGCTAAAGTTCTGAGTAAATCAAAACAGATTTTACTTAACATCTAACCAAGTAGACCTGTTGTACTGTAGTAATAGTTTAGTGTATTAGTCTACTTAGTAATGAATTATAATTGTTGCTTCTACACTCCAGCAACTAAAAAGATAAATTTAAATTTCTTTCAAAATTAAAGAAGGAAAATTCACGTTGTTTAGAGGTGCAAGATTGGCGAATCATGTGCCTATGAGTGTCAAATTACTTGGCAAACTACGTTCGTAAAGAACTTTGTTTTTTCTAAGTTATCTATGATCCTTAAATATAAAAATAGAAAATTAACTTATAATTTAGAAAAAATGTATAGAACTTTTCAATACATGGGAGGTTTTCGAAAAATTCTTTGAAGGTTAGGGTAAAATTTTCAAGATTTTGCAAAAAATTTCAAGCAGTGGCCCCACTGGTCGCTGGCCATCGACCCCAACACACCAACAAGCGTCTGATCAGTTCAACAACCAGCTCTGATAATTCCATTTCTCAATAAGGACTGAGAAAGGATGTCATTATTTTGCTTAATAAATTCACCAAAAAAATCTACCCAATCAAGTTTTGCATTATTTGACATTATGGTGCACATTAACAGACAGTGGGAATACTACAGGGGTAGACCGGAGCTGGTGGCATCCAGGCTACAGGGCGGCTGGACTGGCTACTGAATGATTTTGATGACAACTTGTATTATGCATAATATCTGTTATCTTAATATAATAATTTGTTTGAATCATTGTTTGACTTTTTTTAACTGTAAATATTTACAGAGATATTGCATATACGTATAACATTAGTCAGGCAACATTTATGATCATCTATACGAGTATAACTACAGCATAATAATAAAATAAGGTCATGCTGCTTTGACCTTATTTTTCAATCCAACTGTAATCAGTGGTGTTGTGACCTACTTCAAGTTGTGACACTTATATTAATCTGGTCACTCATATGTCGGCTATACTCCCTTCATGTCATCCGTTGTAGGGATCAAGCTAGAGTTACGTGCGGAAGACCCTACGATAAAGCCATTATGACAGAGGGTGATAAAGCCATTCTCACACTCATGCTTAGTGTACTGTATACTGTACTGGGGGATGATACAGCTTGGAGGGTTCTGATATTATTGTGAACCCCAGCCACTAAGACACACACTCCACTGTGTCTTCTACGTTGTAAAGAATATGTCAAATAATGTAGAACATGATTGGGTAAATTGTTTCATGAATTTAATAAACAAAATAATGACATCCTTTCCCAGTCCTTATTGAGAAATGGAAATATCAGAGCTGGTTGTTGAACAGTTTGGGTGTCTGCTTGTGTGTCGGGGAGGGATGGCCGGACAGTGACTCACCGTCCAGTAAGGGTGGGGGAGGACCTTAACTGTACCATGAGTTTCTGCCCATGACTGTACACCACATTAGTGAGTATTGTGCTATATACAGAAGTCAGTTGTTAAGATGAACTTTATTTCAGACAAATAACTGAACTTTGATCATCCAACTCCGAAGTGAGAGAAGTGGAACTGAGAATGTATGAACCTTCGTGCAGCAGAGGGGAAGTGTACACCTGTGAGGACTGTGGTAGACAGTTTGCTGACAGACAACAGTTAAGGGAACATTTGGTGCTCCACAACAAGGAAGAGTTTGACTGTGACATATGTAATAAACCGTTTCCAACTAAGGAGAGGTTGCAGAGACACAAGAGAATACACAGTGATAAGAAATATGTGTGTCACGAGTGTGGAAAGATATTCAGTGTGAAGGGTTACTTACAGAAACATCTGGAAGTACACAGCAATGAAATGTTCAAATGTGAGGATTGTGGTAAGTTTTTTACCCTGCAGCGATCTTTGCAGAGCCACAGGCTTCTGCACAAAGAGAAAAAATTTAGTTGTAATGTATGTGGCAAATCATTCCACAAAGAGACTGGAAAGGGAAGTCTAGACATGCACATGCAGCTGCACGGTGATAAAAAGTTTGGATGTAATGTGTGCGGCCTGTTGTTCAGTGTGAAGGGTTATCTACAGAGACATATGCAAGTGCACACCAAACCACACAAAAGATTTGAATGTGACGAGTGTGGTAAATTGTTTACGCGGGAATATTATCTTAAAGATCACATGCGCGTACACGGCGAAAAAAAGTTCGGATGTCTAGAGTGCGGGAAATTATTTGTCCGGAAGGCAAACCTCAGAGATCATATGCTGATACACGGGGAGAAAACATTTGGCTGTAGTGTATGTGGTAAGCTGTTCAGCCTGAAGAATTATCTCAAGAAACACATGCAAGTGCACAACTCTAACTCTGGTTTTCATGACAATAAGTATGATGTTATGAAATTTACTTCTCAAGATGCCAATATTGCCCCTGATGAATGGGTGGACCTGCTGCAGGCCTCTCCCTGTGAGTCACCAACACCCCTGGAGCTGGAGTGTATGGGGGAGGTGAAAGGTAACAAACAAAAAACATATGCCAAGAGAAATGCTGGAAGAGATGATGAACTCCAGAAGGTGCTCATCAAGGCAGAAGAAGGAAATGAAGATGATTCTCAGCTACAGTTTATCAAGATGGAGTCGAGAAGTGAAGACGAGTCGGACAAAGTTTACGAGTGAAGACGTAGACGATGATGATGAACCACAGACTGACCTTCACTAAACACGCAGAAGTAAAGGGTGGCCGACACTGCTGGGGTGTGAACCTTTGTTTATAAAAACTATAATCCAGGAGGAAGAAATAAATGAATGTAACTTGTGCAACATTAAAATCAAATAGAGTTTATTCCTGAAATTACCTCTAAGATATTCCCCACACATACAACCACCTGCGAAGAAGAATGCCCCCTTGAAGAACCTGCACCTTGATGAGATACAGCCTATGCCATAACAGGTATCTGACAACTTGGAGGTGTACTGAGACAAAAGGTAATCACTCACCACCCTAGTCATTGTACAGAACTTATATTATGTGAGAAGCTCTTGAGATATAATGAGGATATGATTCATAAAGCATGGTTGAGATAAACTACATACTATTCAAATAACTGGTTGGTCGAGAAGCTTTGAGATTGAACCATTGGAAGGACTGAAACAGAGAGAGAGAGCACCAAACATTGACTTATCAGCTCAGCACCACGAGCAGTGTACCCAATATTTCAACCTTGTGACGGCTGTGATGACCCTAGCAGTTGACGGCCAGGAAATCAACAGAAGAACCATGCCATTGTAAATACTGTTTGCTTAATTGACGTAGAAGACAACATGGTCTTCTTACCAGATTAAAGGAATTTGCCTCAACACATAAATATTATACAGTACAGTTCTCTAAGCTACCGAGATGCTGATACCCTCCCTGTACAGTATTGCACACCTGATGGTACAGTACAGTACAACCTGTCCTCACAACAATCTCTCATATAAATATTACCAAGGAGTAAACAATGAGTGACATGTAAACAAGATATCCATAGTGATAAAGAGGATGACTTACTAAAAGGTTAGAGGCAATATGAAACCCACCTGGATGATTGAGGGCTTCACACCTAACCTTCTCTACCCGTGTGACCAAAGTTAGAGCCTGGTTGATAATTTACTCCACAGTAGAAGGAACAAACACTGGTATTGAGAGGAGAGTACATTTATACCCTGTAATTTAATTTAATATTCATAAGGGAAGATCTTAATAGAGGCAGTTATAAGAGAATACAGTAACTACAGTAGAGAAAATATGTATTAGCATTTGCCATTTAATGTGTTATAATTACCTACCAGGAGTTTTGCAATACATACACTAGGAATATGTAACTGTTGTAAATATATTTGACTAATTTGTGTTTTAAATTTTATGGGTGGCTGAATATCTGTGTTTGACTGTCTGTATAATGTCTTTTTGTTCGTCTTAGTAATAATAACTGCTGTATGTCCAGGTTCTAATAAATGACGTTATGAATATGAATTTTCGAACATTGAGAGACTGATTAAATGAATGTGTCTATGGAGTATTGAGTTAGAATAATGATTACAGATGATAATGTATGAGTGTACTAGCTTACCTGGGAATGAATGAGTGTACTAGCTTACCTGGGAATGAATGAGTGTACTAGCTTACCTGGGAATGAATGAAGAGTGTACTAGCTTACCTGGGAATGAATGAAGAGTGTACTAGCTTACCTGATAATGTATATATGTGTGTGTGTGTGTGATAGTCAATATGTTTTCTTTATCTTTAGTGATGAGTGCCCATTTTACTGCTGAAGTTTGTGGTGGATAGAACTACCAGTGTCTTGCTTATATATTACTATATGTCAGTACTACAGTTTGTAAATATATATATTGTACAGGTAGTTAGATGTACTGTACACTCATGGGGGGACATTGTACTACTGATAGCTAATTTAAGAGACCATTGAACGAGTTGTTTCTAAATTATTGCATTCCATGTAGTCGAATAATCTTTTAATAAACTGTGTCATGGTAAGTTTAGCGACCCGCCTGCGTTAGTGTTGTAAATATAGGATGACGTACCCTTGTAAGATGTGTTTTAGCCCTTATAAGTGAGCCATTGAATTGTGTGTTTTAATTAATGAGTTCCGTGTAGTTGAGGAGTCACCAGTGTAAGCTTTAGTGCTGCACCTTCATTAAGAGTTGTAATATGTAAGGTAGGAGGTAAAACTTGGCTCTTCAAGCATCAGGTCTTGGTACTTTATCGTGTAGAAGGGATAAAATATTGTGTTAGGGTTAAAAATGATGAAGACTTAATTCTCTTTCCTGTGTTGGTAAAGACTTTTCTAGATTTGCGTCCGTGATGAAAGGATAAAACTTTTTCAAAATTGTATAATATGTAATTTTTATGGTCAAAATGAAATGATAGAATTTTGGATGTGCAGTAAAATTATGTACAGTGGGTTCCCGGGTTACGAATGGGTTCCGTTCCTGAGGACGTTCGTAGGTCTGATTTGTACATAGGTCAGAACACATGCTATATGTATACCGTACAGTACTTACAAAACAATGCTTAAAATCCCACTATATCATAGCCTAAGTCCTTATATACATCTAAAATCACTTAATTAAGACAAAAGAAGAAATAGAATGACAATACTACAGTAAATGAAAGTAAAAAATAAGTCATCAGGTAAATAAAATATTGTAAATTTCAATTGATCTCATTCGTAGTCGCGAGTGTTGGTAAGCCCTGTATCGTACCCTACCTTTCCATCCCACCAAAATATTCATAAAACAATTATCTATGGGTAAGAACAATCCCAAATAATCTACAGTATATATTGTACAGTTACCTGTATCATATATTAATTATCAGACAGTTTCAGTTTTTGTATATCTGCTGTACTGTATTACTGTATACTTTGAAATTTACCTTTGTAATTTACTACATAAAGGAAGGGAGGAGGGTGTTACTGTATACCGTGTTTTATATCTGACCATTTTATATTGGGTGAAAATTCTATCTTAATATATTTTTGAAAAACTGATTTATGCTCTCTAAAAACAGTAATGATGATGATGATGACAATGATGATGATGAAGATGATGAGCCCAAGTTTGGCATTAAGGAAATAATTTTATTACCACAGGAAAGACAAGTATTTGTTTTCATTTTAAACTGTAGATCAGTAGTTTATTACAAGATGAAGGGAGAGAAAGTCTTAGTAGGTCTAGCTTCTGTGCCTGAAGATCCAAATTATACTAACTGTATAAATATAACAAGCAACACATATTTGAACAGTATACATTAGTCTGTCTTGGAGAACAATTTATCAACTTACTTTGATATCAGTGAGTTGTATGTAGTCAGAAATTCATTAATAAAGATTTGGAAGCCAACTTGAGTATTGAATTACATAAACCTGGCAAGATACAGGAGATATTTATATTTACCATTGTTATTTTTATGTTTTATCTAATTGTGTGGCTTGCCGTCTTTAACCAAGCCGCTTTTAACAATGGTTGGAATATTAATGCTCTTGTTGCTGTCTCTATAAGGTCGAATAGATTTGATGTGGTTGTGGTGTTAATTCGCCATTTGTAGACAGAAAACTTTAGGTGATGCAGCAACTTCATCCTCAACTGATGGATGAGATTCATGGTGATGGCTGGAGAGTTTGAGATGGCCAAGTATATTTAGTGCCTCTTGGTAGGGGGGTGGATTGAGGGTTGGAGAATGATGTTGTGTGACCTGTTTGTACTTTTTTAATGAAGTCTCTGCTGTTTCAAGACTGGCAGCGTAACAAGTGAGGGCAGCAGTGAGGAAAGCAAATCAAGATATGGGAAATACAAAGCATACTTTTGAATACAAAGATGGGAATATGCTCCTTCAACTGGACAAATCTGAAGTATATGTACCAACCCCTTCAACAAGTGGTACCAAATGACAACTATTGTACCACGTCTAAAGATGTGGTCGTTATAGTAGGATGCCAGATGGAAGTTTAAATAGCAATGACCCTGTACTGTATAAGTAAAGGCAGTTGAATCATACTAAAGGCTTATACCAGGATTACTCAGTTACTATTTGTGAAGGCCAGGTCACAAATTTCCTAGGTGGTAAATGTTCGAATGAAAGGCTTAAAGTGACGTAATAAACAAGAGTCCTGTATTTATTACTGTTTATTCCCGGCTACAAGTGTGTATTGTTGTAGCTGAGATAACTGAAGACAAGAGGGAATGAGAAAATAAAACTGATTAAAAATGCACTTTAAAGTTTTTTTTTTCAGAGGGAGGAAGAGAGGAGAGGAGGGAGAGATAAAGAAGGGAGATAGAGAGGGGAGGAGGGAAAGAGAGAGGAGGAAGGGAGAAAGAGAGGGGAGGAGGGAGAGATAAAGAAGGAGGAGAGAGAGGGAGGAGGGGAGATAAAGAAGGGAGTAGAGAGGGAGGAGGGAGAGAGAGGAGGAGGAAAGAGAGGAGGAGGGAGAGATAAAGAAGGTAGAGAGGAGGAGAGAGGAGAGATAAAGAAAGAGAGAGAGGGGAGGAGAGGAAGAGATAAAGAAAGAGAGAGAGGGAGGAGGGAGAGAAAGAGAGAGGGTAGAAGGAGGAAAAGAGAGGAGGAAGGGAGAAAGAGAGGAGGAGAGAAGGAGGTAGAGGGGAGGAGGAAGGAGGAGGTAGAGAGGAGGAGAGAGAGAGAGAGGGGAGGAGGGAGGGAGAAAGGGTAGAAGGAAAGGCGAGAGGGTAGGAGGTGGAAAAGAGAAAGGAGGAAGAGAGAGGGAAGGAGGGAGAAAGAGAAGGGAGGAGGAAGAGAGAGGGAAGGAGAGAGGAGAAGGAAGAAGGAAGGAAGGGAGAACTTAACTTTGACCAGAACAACCTTAACACTATCTAAGCCTCTAAGGGCATGGTTAGGTTAGAAGCTGGTTAGGTTAGGTTAGGCGGTTAGATTATTTTACCCAATATTGCTGTAGTACGTTCAATGTTCACTATCCTGCACGCCATGAACAAAATATTAAAAATAATAAAAAAAAATATTGTTTTACCACAGCATCTGTTGTCAATTCCAGCTTCCTTGCTCATAAAAGTGCCTCAGATCTCGCCCAGACAACCAAAGTAAGTAGTTGTTTAATGCCTGTGGCTCCTGTTCTTATAACAATTTCCACTTCCAAATCACCGTTGAAACCTAACCTAACCTAACCTAGCTTAACCTAAACTAACCTTGCCAAACGAAACTATACCAAACCAAACCAACCAAATCTAACCAAACCACACCAAACCAAATACGAAAATCCTGCCACAACCATTAAACGAATATTAACCCTCAATCAACCAGACAAGACACATGATAAACAGAGAGAAAAGATAAAACAACTTTGATCTGGTCAGTGCTGTTTTAATGTTCCTCTGTAGTTCTTCTCACGTTAGTTTATCTCCCAGGATATTGTTGATCGTCTTATTACTAAAGATAATTCAACAAAGAGCTCATATCATCTCCTCGTGCCCTCTAACCACACCCCGGAGGTTTATCATCATTACGCCGTCTTGGAGCGTGAGACCTTAGAGGTACACTGCAGCATTACGCATCTATTTTAAACTCGTTGGCATGACACTTAATATTAGGTTCATAAACATTTATTAAATGTTTTCTTTATAAACACACACACACACACACACACACACACACACACACACACACACACACACACACACACACACACACACACACACACACACATAATCCCCCAAAAAAAAATATATATATAAATAAAACAAAAAATAAGATAAAAATAACAATAGCATCCTGTAACCTTGAACTCGTAATTCGTGTTTGGAAACATTAGCGGACGTGGTGTTTAAGTTGGGATACAGGTAAGTTGAAGGTAAGTGGTAGTTCAGGTGTGGTGCTATTACGCTCCCACACTCACCTAATCACACACACACCCACACCCACATATCCATCCGCCCACACCCTCCCCCACCCCTCGTAAGGCGGCGGGCTGCCGCGGGCGGGCCAGCTCCCAAATCTCAAGACAATCGACGCGGGGTGGTACGACGAGGAAAATCCCCGTCCCCTCTTCCCTCCCCTGATGCTAACACAACGTCTATTTATACCACTACCTACACTACCCTGCTTCTTTGCTCTCACTCGGAATCGAGTATGACGATCATCCAGCCATGATACAGTGATATGAGTTATTAGGGATGTCACCTAGGTTAGTGAGTTTTGAGGTGACTAAGAGCCCGATATGGGACCCACAGCGTCGTTCACATTCGTTGCACATGTGGAGGGCTCATCTACTGTTTGAGGGGCGGTGGTAGCGTCTTTCTGGCGTTGGCGCTTGTCTGCCTCGGTTTGCAGTCGGGCTAACTCGAAAGTATTGACACCTTCTCGTGTGGTGCTACTCCAAGCGCTATGATATGGAGTAATCGGCTCCCAGGTGATGGGGTCGATTTGGTACTTTTTCAGGTTTGTCTTAAGACTATCCTTATACCTTTTCAGTTGCCCGCCAGCGTTACGTTTACTATTCGTTAGGTGACTGTAAAGTAGCTGCTTTGGCAGTCTACTGTCGTCCATGCAGGTAACATGGCCAGTCCAGCGTAGTTGTTCATGGATAATAGTAGCCTCGATGCTCCTACAGCAAGAATACTGGCATTTGTTCTCTTGTCTTCCCAGCGAACTCGGAGGATGGAACGTAGACTACTTTGGTGAAAATTTCCAAGTGCCTTGAGGTGCCTCCTGTATGTGACCCATGTCTCACTGCCATATAGCAGGGTGGGGAGGACCAATGCTCGATATATGTGCAGCTTTGTAGATAATTTCAGCTCCCTACAGCTCAAGACACGATTTCGGAGTCTACCAAAGGCTTGAGATGCACATCTGATCCGATGCTGAATCTCTTCACTGATGTCTGCGGTGGTGGACAGGTGGGAGCCGAGATACCGAAAGTGTGCAACATAAGAGAGGGTAGTACCGTTAAGCTGGATGGATGGTGGAGGTGTGTCTGAACCAGGGGCAGGTTGAAAGAGAATCTGAGTCTTATGTACATTCACCTCAAGGCTGAAGTGTGCATACGCGTGTGCGTAGGTGTGCAGGATCTCCTGTAGGTCGTGTTCAGTGTGAGCGACAAGGGTGAGGTCGTCTGTATACTGAAGTTCAGTAATGGAAGCTGCTAAAGCCTCTGTTCTTGCCTGGAGTCGTCTTATGTTGAAAAGATCCTTCACCCGGTACTCAATGTTCACCCCGCTGGCACGAGTAAGGAAGGCAGCCAAGAAGATGGAGAAGAGAGTTGGTGCCAGTACACACCCTTGTTTAACCCCCGTTTGGATGGGGAAGAACTCAGACTGGGTGCTGTTGTGCAGGACACTGCCGTTCATGCCATCATGGAGTTGCCTCATAATGGCGATGAATTTTGGTGGGCAGCCAAAACGGCTGAGGGTCAACCAGAGGGCTTCCCTGTTGACCAAGTAGAAGGCCTTGGTTAGGTTGACGAAGGCCGTGTACGGTCACATTGAAATTCTGGGAGGAAGTTTTCCGCCTCAGGTAGTAGTCTGTTTAGGAGGACTCGGGCGATAATCTTGCCAGCAACGGACAGCAGCGAGATCCAGCGGTAGTTGCCACAGTCTGACCGGTCTCCCTTGTTCTTATAAATATTGACGGTGGAGGTGTCTTTAAGAGCTTGGGGGATTTCCTCCCTTTCCCATATATTCTCCAGGAGAGAGTGGAGACGGCTGGTAAGCAGAGGTCCTCCTGCTTTATACACCTCGGCTGGGATTCCATCAGGTCCTGAGGCTTTGTTTTTTTCATCTGTTTGATTACAGTAGCTACCTCATCCAGGGATGGAGAATAGCTCTGGTGGGTCAGCTCTGGATGCTGAGGGACCTGCTGGGTAGTCAGGACATCCTCTTCGGTGTTTCGGTTGAGCAGTGAATGGTGGTGTTCTTTCCGTCAGATGAGCGGAGGAGGACTGTGCCACGAGTGATTGGCCCATAAAATGTTTTAGTGGAAATTAAAAATTCGCGCATCTTGTGCTGATCTGCAAGTTTTTGTGCTTCATAATACTTCATTTTTAAACCAGTCGTTCTTTAGCTTACGAAGTTCCCGCTGGGCTGCCGCTTTCTTCTTGTGGAAGGTATCAGCTTTGGTCCGAGACTGAGGGCTGTTCTGTCAGTCAGTAAAAGCAGCACGTTTATCATCGATGAGCTACCACCACCACCACTGAAAATATTACCACAGTCACTGCCAATACTACTACCACCATTATCACCACTACCACAATACCAAAATCACTAGCTGCCATACCACTGCCAACACAACCACAACACTGCCACCAAAAATACCACTGCCAATTCTACTACCACCTACACCACTTCGGGATGGTGTTTGGTAGTGTGTGTCTGTATAC